CAGACTCACAATATTTTTTTCCTTTATTTATTCCGACTATTTTTTATTCTTTTTATACCTCTATGTGCAAAATCCGTTTACAAGTACAAGAAAATATTGCCATGTTGAACCTGGCTCGAAAAGATAAAGCTAATCATTCTATATTGTCTAATTTCACAAGAATTTAAGGCAGCACTTGCATTGCGATAGTAACTTCTAGTTTTAGTTGACTCGATGCACGAAGACGGCGAACGGCTAAGCGTAGTAGAAAGTATATTAAAACACGGCTAAGCATTTTTTTATCAAAATGCGCATTAAAATTCCCCTGCACCAAAACGTTTTGCATCAACATGTGTTTTGAAAATTTCTAAGTCGATCTAAACGGAAAAATGGCCCGAAATGATCTAAGTTTGACTTTGGTTTAAAAAGGCAGCACTTGCCTTGTGATAGTAGCTTCTAGCTTATTCTTGACGCGATGCACGAAGACGGTGAACGGCTAAGCGTAGTAGAAAGTATATTAAAACCCGGCTAAGCACGGCTAAGCATTTTTTATATCAAAATGCGCATTAAAATTCCACTGTACGAAAACTTTTTGCATCAATATTCGTTTTGAACATTTCTAAGTCGATCTGAACCGAAAAATGGCCCGAAATTTTCTAAGTAGACTTTGGTTTAAAAAGGCAGCACTTGCCTTGCGATAGTAACCTCTAGTTATAGTTTACTCGATCCACGTCGATCCGCGAAGCCGGCGAACGGCTAAGCGTAGTAGAAAGTATATTAAAACACGGCTAAGCGCGGCTATAAAGCATTTCTTATATCAAAATGCGCATTAAAATTCCCCTGTGCCAAAACTTTCTGCATCAATATGCGTTTTGAACCTTTCAGAGTGAATTTAGATCGAAAATTTTATTTTCATTTGCCCGATATCTTCTAAGTCTGACTTTGGTTTATGAGCAGGTTACAACAATGTACTTTTGTTTTTAATTTTACAAGAATTTCAGGTCGTCCACTGATGGCTTAGTGTTAGGTCGTTTGGCCTGTCGCGATAAACATTTGAGTTCAAATCCAGTTGAACTCGTATTTTGTAGCGGACTCAGAATATTTTTTCCTTTATTTTTTCTGGTTATTTTGTATTCATTTTATACCTCTATGCGCAAAATGTGTTTACAAGTGTAAGGAAATATTGCCATGTTGAACCTAGTCCGAAGGGATTAAGCTAATCATTATATATTGTTTAATTTCACAAGAATTCAGTTTATAGTTGATTTGATCACGAAGCCGGCGAACGGCTAAGCGTAGTAGAAAGTATATTAAAACACGGGTAAGCATTTCTTATATCAAAATGCGCTTTAAAATTCCGCCGTGCCAAAACTTTCCGCATCAATATGCGTTTTGAACTTTTCTAGGTCGATCTACATCGAAAGTTTTTTTTGCGATTTGCCGGAAATTTTCTAAGTCTGACTCTGGTTTATAAAGGCAGCACTTGTCTTGCGATAGGAATTTCTAGTTTTTGGTTGATTCAATTAAGAATCCGGGTAGCGGGTTAGCGTAGTACAAAGTATAATAAAGGACGGGTTAGCATTTCTTATATCAAAATGCGCTTTGAAATTCCCCTGTGCCAAAACTTTATGCACCAATAGGCAGTTCTGAACTATCCTAAGTCGATTGATATAAAAAAATGTTTGTAAGTCAAACTTTGGACGGAATTTTCCAAGAGAAACTCAGCCTAGTTGACTCAAGAATCCGGGTAGCGGGTTAGCGTAGTACAAAGTATAATGAAGGACGGGTTAGAATTTCTTATATCAAAATGCGCATTAAAATTCCCCTATACCGAAACTTTCCGCATCGATATGCATTTTGAACCTTTGTAAGTCGATTTAGATCGAAACTGTTTTTTTTGATTTGCCCGAAATTTTCTAAGTCTGACTCTGGTTTATAAAGACAGCACTTATCTTACTATAGGAACTTCTAGTTTATAGTTGATTCGATCAAGAATCCGGGTAGCGGGTTAGCGTAGTACAAAGTATAATAAAGGACTTGTTAGCATTTCTTATATCAAAATGCGCTTTAAAATTCCCCTGTGCCAAAAGTTTCCGCACAAATAAGTAGTTCTACACCATCCCAAGTCGACTTATATCAAAAAATGTTTGTAAGTCAAACTTTGGTCGAAATGTTCCAACAGAAACTCAGCCTACTTGACTCAAGAATCCGAGTAGCGGGTTAGCGTAGTACAAAGTATAATGACGGACGGGTTAGCATTTCTTATATCAAAACGCGCTTTAAAATTCCCCCATGCCGAAACTTTCCGCATCAATATGCATTTTGAACCTTTGTAAGTCGATTTAGATCGAAAATTTTTTTTCGATTTGGCGGAAATTTTCTAAGTCTGACTCTGGTTTATAAAGGCAGCACTTGTCTTGCTATAGGAACTTGTAGTTTATAATTGATTCGATCAAGAATCCGGGTAGCGGGTTAGCTTAGTACAAAGTATAATAAAGGAGGTGTTAGCATTTCTTATATCAAAATGCGCTTTAAAATTCCCCTGTGCCAAAACTTTCAGCATCAATATGCGTTTTGAACTTTTCTAAGTCGATCTAGATCGAAAATTATTTTTCGCTTTGCCCGAAATTTTCAAAGTCTGACTTTGGTTTATGAGCAGGTCACAACAATGTACTTTTGTTTTTAATTTTATAAGAATTTCAGGTCATCCACTGATGGCTTAGTGGTAGGTCGTTTGGCCTGTCTCGATAAACATTTGAGTTCAAATCCAGTTGAACTCGTGTTTTGTAGCGGACTCACAATATTTTTTTCCTTTATTGATTCTAGCTATTTTTTATTCATTTTATACCTCTATATGCAAAATCCGTTTACAACTATAAGGAAAAATGGCCATGTTGAACCTAGCCCGAAGAGATTAAGCTAATCGTTCTATATTCTTTAATTTCACAAGAATTTAGTTTATAGTTGATTCGATCACGAAGCCGGCAAACGGCTAAGCGTAGTAGAAAGTATATTAAAACACGGCTAAGCATTTCTTATATCAAAATGCGCTTTAAAATTCCACTGTGCCAAAACTGTCGGCATCAATATGCGCTTTGAACATTTCTAGGTCGATCTAGATCGAAATTTTTTTTCGATTCGCCCGAAATTTTCTAAGTCTGACTTTATTTTATAAAGCAGCACTTGTCTTGCGATAGGAACTTCTAGTTTCTAGTTGATCGATCAAGAATCCGGGTAGCGGATTAGCGTAGTACAAAGTATAATAAAGGACGGGTTAGCATTTCTCATATCAAAGTGCGCTTTAAAATTCCCCTGTACCAAAACTTTCTGCGCAAATAAGTAGTTCAAAACCATGCCAGGTCGATTTAATTCAAAAAATGTTTGTAAGTCAAACTTTGGTCGAAATTTTCCAAGAGAAACGCAGCTTACTTGACTCAAGAATTCGGGTGGCGGGTTAGCCAATTACAAAGTATAATGAAGGACGGGTTAGCATTTCTTATATCAAAATACGCTTTAAAATTCCCCTATACCGAAACTTTACGCATCAATATGCATTTTGAACCTTTGTAAGTCGATTTAGATCGAAAACTTTTTTTCGATTTGGCCGTAATTTCCTAAGTTAAACTTTGGTTTATAAAGGCAGCACTTGCCTTGCGATAGTAACTTCTAGTTTCTAGTTGATTCGATCAAGAATCCGGGTAGCGGGTTAGCGTAGTACAAATTATAATGAAGGACGGGTTAGCATTTCTTGTCTCAAAATGCGCTTTAAAATTCCCCTATGCCAAAACATTCTACACCAATAGGCAGATCAGAACCATCCTAAGTCGATTTATATCAAAATATGTTTGTAAGTCAAACTTTGGTCGAAATTTTCCAAGAGAAACGCAGCTTACCTGACTCAAGAATCGGGTGGCGGGTTAGCCAATTACAAAGTATAATGAAGGACGGGTTAGCATTTCTTATATCAAAATGCGCTTTAAAATTCCCGTATGCCGAAACTTTCAACATCAATATGCGTTTTGAACTTTTCTAAGTCGATCTAGATCGAAAATTATTTTTCGCTTTGCCCGAAATTTTCAAAGTCTGACTTTGGTTTATGAGCAGGTCACAACAATGTACTTTTGTTTTTAATTTTGCAAGAATTTCAGGTCGTCCACTGATGGCTTAGTGGTAGGTCGTTTGGCCTGTCTCGATAAACATTTGAGTTCAAATCAAGTTGAACTCGTGTTTTGTAGCGGACTCACAATATTTTTTTCCTTTATTTATTCTAGCTATTTTTTATTTATTTTATACCTCTATATGCAAAATCCGTTTACAACTATAAGGAAAAATGGCCATGTTGAACCTAGCCCGAAGAGATTAAGCTAATCGTTCTATATTCTTTAATTTTACAAGAATTTAGTTTATAGTTGATTCGATCACGAAGCCGGCGAACGGCTAAGCGTAGTAGAAAGTATATTAAAACACGGCTAAGCATTTCTTATATCAAAATGCGCTTTAAAATTCCACTGTGCCAAAACTGTCGGCATCAATATGCGCTTTGAACATTTCTAGGTCGATCTAGATCGAAATTTTTTTTTCGAATCGCCCGAAATTTTCTAAGTCTGACTTTGGTTTATAAAGCAGCACTTGTCTTGCGATAGGAACTTCTAGTTTCTAGTTGATCGATCAAGAATCCGGGTAGCGGGTTAGCGTAGTACAAAGTATAATAAAGGACGGGTTAGCATTTCTCATATCAAAGTGCGCTTTAAAATTCCCCGGTGCCAAAACTTTCTGCGCAAATAAGTAGCTAAAAACCATGCCAGGTCGATTTAATTCAAAAAATGTTTGTAAGTCAAACTTTGGTCGAAATATTTCAAGAGAAACGCAGCTTACTTGACTCAAGAATTCGGGTGGCGGGTTAGCCAATTACAAAGTATAATGAAGGACGGGTTAGCATTTCTTATGTCAAAATACGCTTTAAAATTCCCCTATACCGAAACTTCCTGCATCAATATGTGTTTTGAACCTTTCTAAGTCGATGTAGATCAAAATTTTTTTTTCGATTTGCCCGATATTTTCTAAGTTAGACTTTGGTTTATAAAGGCAGCACTCGCCTTGCGATAGTAACTTCTACTTTCTAGTTGATTCGATCAAGAATCCGGGTAGCGGGTTAGCGTAGTACAAATTATAACAAGACGCTCGAAAGAGCGTTGACTCGCTGGGGCTAATGGGTAGACTTTCAAGGTCCGTTGGGTTCAAGTCCGTCCCTCAGCGCAAGCGGTCAAAAGCTATAAATGGGCTGCCGATAGTGATACACTTGTCAGATCACAGTGATGGTACATTGGTACTACAATCATATGGCCGATTGAAGAGTTAATTGTGATCTGTCCCCTGTTGCAAAATTGCGGTGTCCCACCGATGTGTCAAGTTTGGCACCGCTACCTAACAGCAGACGCCAGACAGAGGTTTGGGGGGAAGGGGGAATTTGTTCCGAAACAAATGCTTCCACTGCCTATCTGAAAATTCCTTGCCCGTCTAAATCGCTGACTGAGACCGACTATCTCTGGTTTAATATGCATCCAAGTGACCCAACAAGGAAAAAATACCATCGTTCGAATCAGCGTACGAAATTGTACTTACGGATACCAAATTCATTACTGAACAGCAGTATTCTGGCGATATATGACCTTTGAAAGTCACGCGAAATTGTATTGTTGACAAATGTCACAAATCGCTCTCAAAATTTTATATATTATTCAGCTATTTAAAAATGCAGCACGTTTGCTCCTTGATTTTCCTTGATAACTTTCGTATCGTTGGTTTTCTCCTTTTCGGCCGTATACGAATGGGTTCGTCTCACTTTTATCTTCATTTTGATAGTATTTTGATCCGTGAATTGTTTATTTTGAAGGTTTTAAGGCGAAGTTTTAACCATGGGTGTCAGCGTGTGGAACAACTGTCCGCCGACAGGACTGTAGTGAATACGATAAAATATAACCTTTACATGTAGCACAGCTTGTAGGGAGAATCGCATGAAAGTTTTATTTGTAAAGCACCGCATTTAGTTAGTACTGTGTCTGGTCTACTCTGTTCTTACAAAAGCATAGTTAGCAGTCTTATATCGAGTTTATATTTCATACAATTGTTCCTGTGCATCGCCATCGGCGATCGCTGTCTCTTACTTTGTATTTCTATTTTTGTCGGGCTATAAGATGTCATTTTGACCGCTTAACAGGATTTATTTGGCATTAATACATCTCCAAATTCATTGTTCTTGTCGTTGAATCCTCAATGCAGTAAAATGTCAGTTTTAAAAAAACGTAAACATGTTCATACTGGTTAAAATAAACAGCAGCTTTGGATTTTTTAGTAATATTTTGAATTTTTCGCAATACTTAGGGTTATTTATAGATAATTTGGGTAAAAGTAGGTAGCTCATTAGTATTCTATTTTGTGGCTATCAATCGGAGAAAAATCAGAGCCGAAACCTATACTCGCCAGGGCACAGGTGCCCCAGCGAGTAATTAGCTGCATGGAGAGCTCACTGACCAAAATACGTCACGGCGACATAAAATCACATCGCTCAGCAGGCGATAGCATGGTTCCTCATTTAAATAAATATGTACTAAACTTTGGATAGCTCTATGACCTCTATCAGTTTTCCTTGGAGGTCCGTAAGGGTCATAGTGGTCATCCCTGATTGTTCCAGTGTTTCTGCAACTAAAATAAACCAGTGAAGTTTGTTTATGCTGAATAGCACTATCAATTCTAAACTGTATCCAGTAAGGACAGTTCCATGTTTGTCCAATAAGGATCCAGTGTTGATTTGTGAAACTCGGCTTGCGATGTTTGGTTAATTGAGTCAAACTGGAAGAACTCTTGCCTTGTGTTTGATAATGATATGGTTTATTTGTTCTCGGCAGGTTGCGATAATTTTATTATTATTAAAACCTTATTTACATACGGAGTCGTATGCAGCCGAGTAAAATTAAATATCATTATGCATATACATACAAACAGACATGAGACAATAACAGGATTTCAACAAATAAAGATCGGATTTATAATCATAGCCAGGGTAAAAACTTTAAGACATTAGTCAATGATTACATTGTATAAGTGTTTAAATTGATCAACTGATTTAGCATTAGTTGTATGTACAGCTAAGTGCTGTCTAGTGAAATAGCTTTCCTCGTCTACCTCAGTATAAAGGAACTTTTCTTTAGGGCCTCGGTCAAAGGTCTCGGAACAAACAAGTTAGAGTCTGAACCACGCACGTAAACTACAGCTGTGGATTGACGGAACCGCATGCAGTAAATCTATTAGAAAGATATTCCGGTACCAATAATTCTCAGGGATTTTTAGTTGTACCTCACTGGTATACTCCAATGATTATTGCCACGTACTTGAGCTGGTATAAGCTTGAGACTCAAGGTGTACCTAGTCTTTAATAATGGACAATTCTTTAAAAGGTATTCATTCAGTAAACTGAAAATATACGAGTTAATTGAGTGACAGCGCTCTTCTTGTGATAAATGAACCGCCTAAACTCGCCCTAAATCGCGGCATATAATTTACTGAAATTCTCTTAAGTATTTGTTGATGTATAAAAGGCGTTATAAAGTTAATAAATAAATAAATAAATAAATCTTATATAGTGTAGGTTTTTGTCACCGTAAATTTTACTACTGTACAACGCTTTAGAATATTTTATAATTTAATTAAGCGTTATATTTAAATGAATATTATGTCATTGAGTTGATTTCACAGTTGGCTGTTAGCCAATCAGAGACCATGAATCTTTTAAATAATAATAATAATAAATATTATTAAAATCCTGATAATTGCATGTAAAACACATACAATCGACTCCAACATTTCTTAGTCTTGTACCATCAGTCCAATCATGTTTCATGCCAGAACATGAAAGGTTTACGGTTTTAAATAGACTGCGAGCGGTCCCTCCTTTCCGCGGGGGACTGCTCGCGGTCTAGGTTTTAAATATCTACAGGAAAGTTTGCTGGTCATGCATATGATACCAGCAAAAAGTCTATATGTGCGCTAGCATGGCTAAAAACAAAGAAGTTCTAGACGGTAATATTAGCGGATCTCCGGTACGTAAGCATTGGGATTGCCGCACCCTGTTTTCGGAGTAATATACATATTGTATCCATAGCTGCAGGTGAATGTGGCTGACAATTTAGGGCCTGTTTATATGGAAGCCAGACTGGCCCGCTTAGCGAGACAGCCCGGTAAGCGGGATGAATTTCTCTTGTGTTTATATGAGAAAATTTCATCCCGGGACAATTTTGTTAAATTGATATTGTTTTGACAGTTGTTAAAAATAGCTTCATCCCGGCAACCGGGCTAGCCCGCTTGTGAGTGTTTATATGGAGAAATTTCCATCCCGGTATAGCGAGACCTCGCCTCTAGATCTCGATATCAATTTTTACTATAAAAATAACTACACAGCGAGATCTCGCGTACCGGGCTGTCTCGCTTAGCGGGCTAGCCCGGCTTCTATATAAACAGGCCCTTCTCTTTATTTGCGATAGTAATTACCGGTCTATAGTAATGGCTAAGCCGTTTCTGGATTTCTTTTTGTACGTCTGAACTACAAGCTCAAAAATCTCACAGCTGGTCAACAAGATGTGTTTGCACTTGCTTGTCCCCAGGTGTTGACAAGTCTGGAACAAATTGTTATCATCTTATAACAAGGTTGATCACAGGGTTGATGAGGCCAACAGATTCGCACTGAAGTCGTTTCAGGAAGTCTGATATCGTCTGCCCGTAACAAGCTGTTAAAAAATTGGTGACAACAAGCTCGTTGCAACTTGTCACCAGCCGGACGTATATTAGTCTTGTTGGAACAACTTGTAGCAATCTGTTAAACTCGTTTATTACAAATTTTCAATTGTTTCTTCTAGTCTTGTTTTAAAAAAACTTTATTAAAATATATTGTACAAAAGCGGAATAAAAACCGAGATTTAGGACTTAGCGTCAATCATCAGGATTAAAAAGAACTTTAGACTAAAATATTTCAACAAGCAGGAATTCATAGGCTATATAAGATTATGTGATTAAATGCAAAAAATCACTTGTTTCTTCGTTTGTTCAAGGGTATAGATTCTTCTATCAAAATCCTTTTACTGTAGCCTGCGTAGCAGTCGCTTTATTTTAATTATTGAAGGTTTTGAGGATTACCGTCATTTATTCAAAAATCCTCAAAACCTTCACTGAACAAAATAAAGCAACAGCTACGCGGGCTACTCTTACCGCGAATACGACATGGCTACTGTCTAATATGAAGAAACTCCGAGAAACTCGATATTTGACAAATAAGAATTATTCCTGGAATTTGAACCCCATTCCAACGTTTGTAACCACATTTTCATAAGCATGTTTTCGCTGACCGTTCTGTTTTTCCCTTGCGAACTCGACATTTTCATAACCGGTATTTGAAGGTTTATTTTTTGCATCGGTTCGTTTGTGTTTTACAAATTTCCTTGTCTGAGGTCTTACGTTTGGTGATATCATAGGGATGACGTAGTCACTGTGATTTTCGGATAATTGTTCCTTATTTTTATCGTTATGGATTAAATTAGGATCTGCAAACTCCTGCTTCGAGTTTGAATTCCATACAGGCTTAACCTCTTCATAACCTTGTGAATGTTTTGAATTAATTTCAGGTTGATTGAATGGTGCTTGCACAGGCTTAACCTCTTCATAACCTTGTGAATGTTTTGAATTAATTTCTGGTTGATTGAATGGTGCTTGCTGTTGTAAACCTTTGTTTCTCAAATGATCTTGGACTTTTGGTGTTGATGGAGCATTTACATCAGTTGCATTGCCAGTAAGGTGAGAATATTTTCTCGAGAAATACATGCCAAGGTTGTTCTGGTTATCAACTGAATGTTTGTCCTTTTCACAATCAACATATTCATAAATGTGTTTCTCAAAGAAACTCGTGTCAACGTACCCCTCTTCGTCTGTGGTTGCACGATCTTCGGGACGACTTTGTGAAAGTTTGCCGTATACCTCGGCTGCGGTCGTACCAACTTCGGGGCTATTTCGTGCAGGTTCGTCGTGTACTTTGGCTGTCATCGTACAATCGTCAGGACTTTGAGAGGGTTGTTTTGGATCGCATAGTGAATACTTGGAATCGTTTGGAGACTCTCTGATTCTTTTTTTGGGTTTGGGAGAAACTTTGGGCGGGTTTCTTGCCGCATTACTACGTACAAGACTCGGTAAGGTGTCGCGTTGGTTCTGTCGAACAGTCGCCATACTTTCGGAAGAAGTTAAATCGTATATCTTAACAGCGTTTATATCTTGGAACACATTTACTCTCTCTGAAAGGTTCTTGCTGTCGAAACCTGCGTGTAGTGTACAAACAAAGTCTTCATAACTTCGGCCATTTTTAGTGAAACGTTCTGCGACTGCGCAGCGGATGGGTAGGTCTGTCGGTAGACCTATACAATGCGTTAGTTCACCCAACCCTCCCCCTACGGTAGTTGCGATAACTTTAACTTCCGTTAGCACTTTATGAAAGACCACTTCAGTGAGACCTGTTAACGAGCTGTTCCACTGATCCAAGTTTTGCTCAGCCTGCGAACGGGTTGTTTCAAAGCACACCCTCGAATGCAGGCCGTAGTTGATCACAACTTCCGACAGTGTGTATTTCCGGCTGTCTAGTAATGGGGTGAAAATCGCCGGGGATGTGTAGGAAAGAGTCACTTCTCCTTTAGTATCAGTATTCTGACAAACGACACTTTTCTTTTTTTTGTCAATCTTTTGAATTTGTAGTATGTCACCAACTTTGAGCGAGCGTTGTAAAATGTCACTGGCATTCCTTGATTGAGGCCCACAGCTTTTCACTCGTACGTATTGTAGTTTAGGAAAGATAGACTTAAAATCTTCAACTTTACATGGCGTGTACTTACATTTGGACGGGCAGACCAGGACTTGTGTTGGACACGTCAATGGAATGATTACTTGCTTGCCCGAACTGTCCGTGCCAAGTAATTTTTGGACTGAACATATCTCGTGGAAGGCCAATATCTGTTCGTTATTTATGCTTGTTTCTTCGTTCTTGCCGCAGAAGCCATCCACGACTCGAACAATCTGAGGCAGTTGATATTGTTTAAGAAATTTTGATAAATTCTTCTGTGGTTTGCCCCAAATGAACGATCCAATGAGTTCCGTATCGTTCGCCATTTAATCACACTGATTTAATTAACTGACAAAATAGATCTGAACAATTGTACCAACGACTTGGTCAGAACAGTTTCGAACTACTATACTCGAAGATATCAGTATATCACAGTTAGAGTTATAGCTGGTCTCTCAGAGACTGTCGAAATTGTGACCAGAATGATCAGTGTACACTGCTTATAACCCTCAACTCGCAATGATTAATTCCTCTCTTGTTACTCAATATACCTTAGAATCGTACGTGCAGACGTTACGCGTAATCAAACACTCACTCGCCCACGCAATGCTATTCCTCCAAATGAACTTGATATGAGGCTTATCTGTCACTTATTTCATGCATGACAAAGTGACTTTGAATTTGCTTTTACAGAAGTTTTTCATGTACATTAGCAATAAATAGTAGTATATTTCTCATCCAATTTGGCGAGGAAACGCACACTCGACTTGTATTCGCGAGTTTTTCAAAGACACGACTTTCCAAATTGTAATATTTATAAATAACCATACATATTGTATTTACGCCAGACCACTTCAGGCCGGCGTGTCGAAACCAAAACCAATTTTGGCAAAACCGCCATTCATTCTGGAAGCCCAGATCTCATATCGTTTCTAATCATGTGTCAGTGCAAGTGGGCTAACTGACGAAAATCCGGAGCGAGAACTCTTCCTAAAGGCCCGGTTCAGACGGCGAACTTTTCATGCGCCGAACCTAATATACGACGGTCAAATACGACAGAAGAGCCGCATCCGAGTACATCAATTAAGTTCAGCATGTTTTGATTAGATTCGGCATATAATACGGCAAATATTATGCGATACAGGGCGAGACACAGTCACACAGGTTCGACATGGGTTTAGACGCCGTGCTTTTCATGCCCCGAAAGCCCCGAACTTAATGGAGTTAATGCGCTTGCATTCATTACGATATACTGTATGAGTAATTGGGCACTAAAATTTCTTTACTTGCATTCTGGCACGGCACAATTCCAATGTCTAAATCAGCAGCCGAACTTGTGCCGTATTTAATTTGATTCAGTGAAAACGTAGCCGTTTAGACCGAAACCGAGCCTAATAAACATGGTGTTGCCACGAAGCAAGACAGTGATACTTCAGGTGGCACCCTATGGTTCTAAAGTCCTGATGTAATTTTATGTGGCCACGATTTATAGTTGTGTTCTATGACTTTACAAACTTTAGTCTTGGAGCCATGGAGTATAAAAAGGATTTTATCTAAAATTATTTTATTCAAAAATATTTCAAAAATAGCAATCTTTGTCACGCCTGTTTTTCAAGTATTAATTTAATTAAACTAATAACTGCATGCATGATACTTCATAAACAAAGAACGATTACGCCCACAGTATTTTGGAATACGCAGGTAACTTTCGGTATACTAAAGCGTGTCTCAAAAACTTTATTGAAACAGAACTACCAATACTGGTGCATACAGAATACCAAGCATATTAAATTTACAGCAAGACTAGATTACGAATTAGAATTATACTAGTTACAATTGATCAAAATTTGTTAGGATATCGAAGCAATATATGTGACGGTTTTATTGTTCCGGTGACATAAATCAGGAATGCAATTGATCCTGGTGATATAATCTCGAACGCAGTGGGGAAGCAAGCCATAACAACATGCATGTCTAACCTCGAAATTGGAAACGAGGGCCTGATATTGCTGATAACAGGGGGAAAACTGTCGTCGCTGACCAAATTTATCACAGACGCTTTCTTTGTGCCAGCGAAAACTGTGAAAACAACAAAAACACAGATTTCGCTAGCCTGTCTCTCCTACTGCAGTAGAGAATTCTTCGCTGAAACATGGCCGAAAATTCGCTGAAACATGGCCGAAAATGGGAGAGGCGTGGGGGGGGGGGCAGGGGAGTTAAAAACTTTTCCGGACATACCATTTTTCACTAACTTAATTCATTCACTTATTAATTCGTTTTATTTAAAGTTTATCTGCTGTAGGTATCTTCAACTGAAATAATGCGTTCTTTATTGTAGTCCGTTTTACTGTATTATAATATTCTATAGTTAATATTTGAATAGTTCAGCATCATGTTTTTTAATCTTATTTTAGAATTGGGTTGCCAACCGCCAATAAACTTCATTAATTTTGTAACATGGAATGGAATTAAATGAATTAAATTCAATGATTCCAAACTCTCTTTGTCCATGCTGGCCAACATAGCACCGTCTATCAACTCTGCTTCAAATGTTTCAACATAATTTCCCATTCCTAAGTAATTCAATAACGCGCTCACATCAGTAATGCTCAAACTTGATAAGTCTGTTGGATATTTGGAAATTGCTTCGTAAATTTCTTCTTTTCGTTCGGGTTTGGGTACCGGCATTTTGTTGGTAGGGAGTGAAGGGGGTTGGCCTGGAGTGAACGGGGTTGGCTGGGTACTTGAAGGGGTTTGGCTGGTTGGCTGAATGGGGGTTGGCTGAATGGGGCTTGGTTGGATACTTGAAGGGGGTTGGCTGGTTGGCTGAATGAGGTAGGCCTGGAGTGAAGGGGGTTGGCTGATTGGTAATGCAGTGTTGCTGTTGGTTACCATAGGCGTGGGAGACTGGCTGTCAGTTGATGCAGTCCTTCTCTTGTGTATTACGGACAAGTCAGCCTTGCTGTGGGGCCTTTTTAATCTGCTAGGCAACTGAGGCGGGTTGTTGGGAACATTAGGAAGAACCCTGTTAGGGAATGCAACTGCGTTGTTGGGCAAGTGCGGGTTGGTGAGTATGGCAGATCTGTTGCGACTTAAAGGCAGCCTATCAGGCACAGGAGGTGGCCGACGATTGCAGAGAAGGGAATTGCTTCCCGATTCTACAGGTTGGTTACTATCTGAGGTTGCAGGCAACTGACTGCCTAAGTCTTTGGATTCATCATAATAACCTTAGAATACCATGTATAAGAATAATTTCGTTATAATATGAATATAAAAGCGATCATGTTACATTACAATAAAAAATCGGTACGCACTGCGTACATGTTGCAAGCCATCAGTCAGTCCCTGCAGGTGCTTGAGGTTAACTAACTTGTTAAAAGTGTTGGTGTTTGTTGTCTAGTGATTTGCATGCTCGTTTCACCTCTGTGACCGAAGTTTCCTGCTGCAACATGCAGGGCACAACTTTCTTATCATTTTGCCCCACATGCACATGGGCTCCCAGTTTGTCTTTACAAGAAACTGATTAGCTTTTATTGGGTCATTGGTACTTCTCTGAAATAGAGGGTGATAGCGCAGGGTTTACTGAGTGTGCCTCAACTAAGAAAAGGATCATGCATTAAAAAAGGAATTTCACTTGCATATTTGACAACTAATATTTGATAACGCAATCATATTTGATAACGCAATCATAAGACAAACTCCATACGGTATGTCCTGAGAAGGGCTATTAATAATAGATATACTAAAATTGTCTGTACTAGTGTGGGTAGTACCAATGTGAAAATGCTGTGCTGAGTGGTTATATTACTACCTTGAAAAATAAGCAGAAACTCGACGTTTCGAGCGAAGGCCCTTCGTCAAGAGTTCTTCGTTCGCTAACTCTTAATTGACGAAGGGCCTTCGCTCGAAACGTCGAGTCTCTGCTTATTTTTTAAGGTAGTAATATAACCACTCAGCACAGTATTAATAATTGAACAGTACATCATTATTTTTATGTGCAGCTACAGTAAATTTGTTTCAGCTTCTGATCAAAATAACTTCTCCTAATTTGCCATTTCCCAAAGTCCTGGGTCTAGTTGCTCAAATCCCATATTGGATGGCAGCACAATTTAAATTCAAAGATACAATCGACTCCAACATTTCTTAGTCTCGTACCGTCAGTCCAATCATGTTTCATGCCTGAACATGTCAGGCTTACGGTTTTAAATATCTACAGGAACGTTTAGTTGCTGGTCATGCATATGTTACCAGCAAAATGTCTATATGTGCGCTAGTATGGCCAAAACAAAGAAGTTCTAGACGGTAAATATTGGCGGATCTCCGGTACGTAAGCATTGGGATTGTCGCACCCTGTTTTCGGAGTAATACATATTGTATCCATAGCTGCAGGTGACTGTAGCTGACAATTTAGGGCTTGTTTATATGGGAGCCGGACTGGCCCGCGCGAGACAGCCGAGTAAGGGGATGAATTTCTCTTGTGTTTATGTGAGAAAATTTCATCCCGCTAGCTTGCCGGGACAGTAAGTTAAAAATAGCTTGATGCGGTATCTTTGAACTTTCATTCGGGCAACCGGACCAGCCCGCTTGCGAGTGTTTATATGGAGAAATTTCCATCCCGGTATAGCGAGACCTCGGCTCTTTCAAGCGAGATCTCGATATTAATTTTTACTGTAAAAATAACTACACAACGAAAGATCTCGCTTACCGGGCTGTCTCGCTTAGCGGGCCAGCCCGGCTTCCATATAAACAGGCCCTTGTCTTTATTTGCGATAGTAATTACCGGTCTATAGTAATGGCTAAGCCGTTTCTGGATTTCTTTTTGTACGTCTGAACTACACGCTCAAAAATCTCACAGCTGGTCAACAAGATGTGTTGGCACTTGCTTGTCCCCAGGTGTTGACAAGTCTGGAACAAATTGTTATCATCTTATAACAAGCAGGGGCGTAGGAAGCTTAGAAAAGTTGGGGGGGGGCGCAGGCTTTGAAGGGCACTTTCCAAAAAAAAAGGGCATCTAAAAAAAAATTTTTGGCGCCCCCCCCCCGTCGCCAAAAAAATTTCGGTCAGTGTACCATTTTAGGGGTAAAAAATTTTTCCGGACATACCATATTTTTCCTTAAATACTAAAAATTTTTTCCGGAAAAAGAAATATATGATATTTTTATCGGAAACTAAAACATTTTTCGGGAAAAAACCTACATTACAGTTTTCAAAAGTTTCGTTTGGACAAAAACTGCGAATTTTATGAAAATTTTTCAGGCACAAAAAGGGCACTTGCCAAAACTTGGGGGGGGGGGGATGGCCCCCCTGCCCCCCCCCCGGTTCCTACGCCCCTGATAACAAGGTTGATCACGCCAACAGATTCGCAACAAGTTGTTTCAGGAAGTCTGATATCGTGTGCCCGTAACAAGCTGTTACTGAACAGTTGATGACGACGACAAGCTCGTTGCAACTTGTCACCAACACTGATACGCGCATAAGTCTTGTTGGAACAACTTGTAACAATCTGTTAAATTCATATATTTCAAATTTTCAATTGTTTCTTCTAGTCTTGTTTTAAAAAAACTTTATTAAAATATATTCTACAAAAACTGAATAAAAACCAAGCTTTCGGACTTAGAGTCCATCGTCAGTGTTAAAAAGAACTTTAGACTAACATATATATATATATATATATATATATATATATATATATATATATATATATATATGATTAAAATTAATTCATGCAAAAAATTGCTTGTTTCTTTGTTTGTTCATAGGTATAGATTCTTCTATCAAAATCCTTTTACTAACTGTAACCTGCGTAGCAGTGTTATTTTATTGAAGGTTTTAAGGATTACCGTCATTTATTCAAAAATCTTCAAAACCTTCAATACAATAAAACGGCTGCTACGCAGGCTACTTTTACTGCGAACACGAAGAAACTTTATAAAGAAACTGCGAGAAACTCAATATTTGACTAATAAGAACTATTCCTGGAATTTGAACCCTATTCCAACGTTTGTAACCACATTTTCATAAGCATGTTTTCGCTGACCGTTCTGTTTTTCCCTTGCGAACTCGACATTTTCATAACCGGTATTTGAAGGTTTATTTTTTGCATCGGTTCGTTTGTGTATTATGACAAATTTCCTTGTCTGAGGTTTTACGTTTGGTGATATCATAGGGATGACATAGTCACTGTGATTTTCGGATAATTGCTCCTTATTTTTATCGTTATCTTTTAGGATTAAATTAGGATCTGCAAACTCCTGATTCGAGTTTGAATTCCATACAGGCTTAACCTGTTCATAACCTTGTGAATGTTTTATTTCAGGTTGATTGAATGGTGCTTGCTTTTGTGAACCTTCGTTTCTCAAATGATCCTGGACTTTTAATGTTGATGGAACATTTATATAATTGCCAGTACGGTGAGAATTTGTTATCGAAACATACATATATATATCAAGGTTGTTCTGGTTATCAACTGAATGTTTGTCCTTTTCACAATCAACATATTCATAAATATTTTTCTGAAAGAAGCTCATGTCAACGTACTCCTCTTCGTCTGTGGTTGCACTTTCTTCGGGACGACTTCGTGAAAGTTTGTCGTATACCTCGGCTGTGGGCGTACCAACTTCGGGGCTATTTCGTGCAGGTTCGTCGTGTACTTCGTCAGCAGGACTTTGCGAGGGTTGTTTTGAATCGCGTGGTGGATAGTCGGAATTGTTTGGGGACTCTGTGATTCTTTTTTTAGGTTTGGGAGAAACTTTGGCCGGTTTTTTTGCCACATTACTTTGTACAGGACTCGGTAAGGTGTCGGATTGTGGCCGTTGAACAGTCGCCATACTTTCGAAAGAAGTTAAATCGTATATCTTTACAGCGTTTATATCTTGGAATACATTTACTCTCTCTGAGAGGTTCTTGCTGTTGAAACCTGCGTGTAGCGTACGAACAAAATCTTCATAACTTTGGCCATTTTTAGCTAAACGTTCTGCGACTGCACAGCGGATGGGTAGGTCAGTCGGTAGACCTATACAGTGCGTTAGTGCACCCACCCCTCTCCCTAAGGTAGTTGCGATAACTTTAACTTCCGTTAGCACTTTATGAAAGACCACTTCAGTGAGACCTGTTAACGCGCTGTTCCACTGATCCGAGTTTTGATCAGCCTGCGAACGGGTTGTTTCAAAGCACACCCTCGAATGCAGGCCGTAGTTGATCACAACTTCCGACAGTGTGTATTTCCGGCTGTCTAGTAATGGGGTGAAAATCGCCGGGGATGTGTAGGAAAGAGTCACTTCTCCTTTAGTATCAGTATTCTGACAAACGACACTTTTCTTTTTTTTGTTAATCTTTTGAATTTGTAGTATGTCACCAACTTTGAGCGAGGGTTGTAAAATGTCACTGGCATTCCTGGATTGAGGTCCACAGCTTTTCACTCGTACGTATTGTACTTTAGGAAAGATGGACTTAAAATCTTCGACTTTACATGGCGTGTACTTACATTTGGACGGGCAGACTAGAACTTGTGTTGGACACGTCAATGGAATGATTACTTGCTTGCCCGAACTGTCCGTGCCAAATAGTTTTCGGACTGAACATATCTCGTGGAATGCCAATATCTGTTCGCTATTTATGCTTGTTTCTTCGTTCTTGCCGCAGAAGCCATCCACGACTCGAACAATCTGAGGCAGTTGATATTCTTTAAGTAATTTTGATAAATTCTTCTGTGGTTTGCTCCAAATGAACGATCCAATGAGTTCCGTATCGTTCGCCATTTCACACTGATTAAATCACAAAGTAGATCTGAACAAGTGTTCTTTAAATAATCACCAACGAGTGACTCGGTCAGAACACTTTCGAACTATACTCGAATATATCACAGTGAGCTGGTCTTTCAGAGACTGCCGAATTTGTGATCAGAATGATCAGCGTACACTGCTTATAAGTTATAACCCTCAACTCGCAATGATTAATTCCTCTCTTGTAACTCGATATACCTTAGAATCGTACGTGCACACGTTCCGCGTAATGAAACACTCACTCGCCCACGCAATGCTATTGGTTTTTTCATGGATGACAAAATGACTTTGAATTTGCTTTTACATAAGTTTTTCATGTATATTAGCAATAAGTAGTAGTATGATTTCTCATCCAATTTGTGAAAAACGCACACTCGACTTGTATAATTCGTGAGTTTTTCAAAGACGTGACTTTCCAAATTGTAATATTTGTAAATAACCACTCGTATTGTATTTACACCAGAGCACTTCATGTTTCCGGCGTGTCGAAACCGAAACCAATTTTGCCAAAACTGCCGTTCATTCTGGAAGCCCAGATCTCATATCTTTTCTAATAATGCATCCGTGCAAGTGGGCTAACCGACGAAAATTCGGAGCGAGAAGTCTTCCTAAAGGCCCGATTCAGACGGCGAACTTTTCATGCGCTGAACCTAATGTACAACGGTCAAATACGACAGAAAGAGCCGCATCCGAATATATGAAGTTCAGCAGGTTTTGATTAGATTCCATACGGCACAAAATACGACAAATCATGTCCTATTATGCGATACAGGACGAGACACAAGTTCGACATGGGTTTAGACACCTTGCTTTTCATGCGCCGAACTTAATGCGTGCATTCTTTCATTGACATTATCATATAGACATATACGATTACGATATACTGTACGAGCAATTGAGCACTAGAATTTCTGATATAGTTTACTTGTATTTTGGCACGGCACAATTCCAATGTCTAAATCAGCAACCGAACTTGTGCCGTATTTAATTTGATTAGGTTCGGTCCATGCCACGAAGCAAAACAATGATACTTCTAGTGGCCCCTATGGTTCTAGTATCCGCAAGTAATTTTATGTAGAAGATGCTGTAAAGTCTGTTCTGCGCATATATTCTGCGCATCAACACATTCCATCAATGGGGGAGGAACCTTTGGCATGTTGTTAATATTTCGCACCTTCCGAACTTTCTTGAATTGAATCTCTAGTCTGCATTCATTTACAAGCATAACGAACCGGAAGAGTGTCAAAAATTCAGTATAATGTATATCTAATCGTATTTTACAACTGTAGCACTGAGTTCAAAATGTAAACAAGGCGTTTGTTTACATTACGGACTTTACATCACCTTGTGTTCTATACGTGACTTTACAGAATTTGGTCTTGGAGCCATGGAGTATATATAATCATAACAGAAGTGTTATGATTATATATACTTAAAACGATTTTATCTAAAATTATTTTATTTGAAAATATTTCAAAAATAGCAATCCTTGACACGCATGTTTTTCAAGTATTGAATTACTGAACTGCATGATACTCGTAAACAAACTACGCAAACGCAAACAAAACGCTTACGCATACATTATTTTGTGTATAGATCCTGCGTAGGGTAACTTTCGGTACTACAGGGTGTCTCAAAAAACGTGACCCTTTAGAAATCACCCTTTTGTTGTTAAAAGCGCATTATTACTTAGGAATGAACTTCCCAAATCTCTATCTTTATAATATTCATAACTATTTAAAATATAACTTACTAACTCTTTGTATCCTTGTAAATATTTATAGCATCATGTAACCTATATAAGTCTCGTAATTTTTCTGCTATATCATATATATCCATATATACCATTATGTAAATACTGCACGCACACTATTTTCTATACTTTGTATTTTAATGTTTTGCAGGAACCATCTGAAAAACACTTCTTGTGATGTTGGTTTCCTGAATAAATATTAATATCATTAGGCCAGGGTCAAACGTCGAACTTTTCTTATACCGAACCTAATGTTAATGAGCAAAGTTCTTTGTTTCACTTCATTTGTATTAGGTTTGGCACATGAAAAGTTCGATGTTTGATCGTGACCTACACCTGGGAATTTAATTAAATACTCCTTGCTCCATAGTCGGTCGTTTTAACTTTCAATTAGAATATTCATGCACAATTTATGCACCATTAGTCTATTTCATTAAGACACGCGTAGGAGTGTTTTAATATCATGTTCTGAAAATGCGAATGCGCAACACGAGCATTTTAGATATGATGAAACACACTACAAGTGTTTTTGATCGAACACGACTACAATAGATGCCGTCTCATTAGTATTCTTTATTGAAAGAATATTAAAACGAAAAACTATATTACGCTTTATCTATATGGTATTGAGCGCTGTTTGTGTTTCCTAAATGACGTCATATTTAGGCTAGCCAGTGACGTCACGAAATATGTTATTGTTCACTTTTTATTTTGGTTATGTGACCAATATCGTGCATCAATGCTGAAGCGCATATTACAAATAACAATATAATCATTGTACTCGAAGGCTGTTTTTTCGCAGATAATCTCGCTTTCCAAGCTCTCAACCACTCTGTTGTTGATACGGAAAGCGACGAAGACGACGCTGAATTTGTCGAGGCTATAAGCGAAAATGAGTCTAACAGATTGTTTCCCTTCCCCCCAATCTGCAAGTCAAAACGGGAGGCTAGCTTGACGAAACACACAAACTCACAGAATCGTGATGCTGCTTACTTAATACCTTCGAGCACAACAAAATCTGCCGAACAGGAAACGCGTCTTTCGAAAGAGAATCTAGCTTCTTATTGTCGAAGAGATTAACAAAGCTAATAAAGGAAGACTTATTCGGACCTGACATTAATTCTGCTCTCAAGAAGGTCTCGTCAAGTAAGAACAAGTCTTTCCTCATGAACTAAATCAGGACAAAATGTTTGAAGATTTTTACGGGTTATTGCATGCCCAGTAAATTTTTCAACTTATGACATCACTGTGATGATATATAACTCTGTGAGTGTAAATAACTGTTCAATCTGTTCATTCTTTGCTAGACTTGTCAATAATATATAATAAACCTTTGAAACCTCTGCAATATATCACAATTGTATCTGAATCGACCTGATATAGTGCATGACATTGTACAAGGTCAAGAAAATTTTTTCCTGCATGCAGTCTTGTTGTATCAGCATGGATTCTAAAATAACCATGTATTTTATTATCCATGGTATCAGTTACACGACAGACCATGCAGATTGCAGATATTGTAATCAAAGAAAGAACATTTGAAATATCTTTGACCACACCAATGTTCGCCACATAGTACTGAGGGGGGGGGGGGGGCAGTATTGTAACCCTAATATCTACAGTATATGGCTGAAAATTATATGACAGGTATAAGTACCAGCCTGCGTGGCAGGCGGTATTTCTACAGGCAGCGAAAATTAGGGAGTCAAAGGAAATACTTCCTAAGTACCGCCTGCCATGCAGGCTAGCCAAAGCAATATATATAGCCTGCCCACGCACTGAGCACATTTATGCAATCGAATAAAAAAATGTGCATGTTCTAAATTTTGTATCTTAATTAATATTAAGTACCATGCAAACAAATGTACTTGGCTAGCAAGTTAAATATTACAGTTCCTTGATAGACTGGGAAATTTCAAGCTCATTTCGCACGAGTTTTCGGCGCTCGCGTTTAGGTAATTCATAGCTTCTTTCCGGCAGTCTTTCGGTGGGAACGCTGCCAGTAACCACAGTTAATATGTTCTATTTGACTTATTATGCAAACGTTTTTGAAGCTATTTAAAAAAACTCGCACGTCGTGTTTTATTAGGTCTAAGCTTTAAACTTAATAAAACACTGTCTCCTGCTCGTTTTTTAAATAGTACATAAATATATAATTGTTAATTTATCCTATAGATCGATAATTGTAATTTCATCTAATAATTTGTAAACATATTGCAATTCACCTTTCGGTGCATATATACTATAGTGTTTTTGTTTTTCGACAAACCATCGAGGCACCGCAGGCTCAGTTTTCAACAGTTTGCCTGGGCAAAATGTTTCAAACAATTTCGTTGAAATTCTCAACGAATCGTACCTGTTTTCTGTGGATTTTGCATTGTGTCGAACTCTGGACTTTCTTGCTAGTTTAATTAATGCCTTTTTCTTGGTGCACGACTCTGAAATCGTGAATCATAAATTTATAATGTACTTTATCGAAACATTCATAGAAAGGTCGTTCTGGTTATCCACTGAACTTTTGTGCTTTTCACAATCGGCATTTTCATATATAATCATGGCTGGGGAAGTTAAAACATTTCACCCCGTACATATCATTTTTCACAAACTTTCGCATTTAATGTAACGTATTTTTTCAGTAATTTTCGTAAATTTATCAAAATTTTTACTATAACTATTACTTTTTAATCCGAGGCATTCGAATATTTGCGGGTAAAGCATTTTGTACCTAGCCCCCCCCTCCCTATAGCGAAGGCCCTGCTTGGCAATGTGATTGATCAGCTTTAGTATAGCCTCGAACTCACGCCACCAAAACGCCAACGACCCAGTGTTGTCATGACGCGTGCCGGAAACCGAAGTAAAAATTTACATCGCCTGTTTAACTTTAATATGAAAACTCAATGATACCATATAATAAACTACTTATTAACTTCAACCGCTCCGTCTTTACGGTAAAATATTAAACTTCGGTCTTACGGCAAGACCTCGGTTTAATATTTTCCCATAAAGACCTCGTTCTCGCAGTTAATAAATAGTTATTAATTCAATTTATTTAAAATTTATTTGCTGTAGGTATCTTCAACTGAAATAATGCGTTCTTTATTATAGTCCGTTTTACTGTATTGTAATATTCTAAAGTTAATATTTGAATAGTTCAGCATCATTTTTTTAATCGTATTTTGGAATCGGGTCGCCAACCTCCAATAAACTTCATTAATTTTGTAACATGGAATGGAATTAAATTCAACTGATGATTCCAAACTCTCTTTGTCCATGCTGACCAACATAACACCGTCTATCAACTCTGCTTCAAATGTTTCAACATAATTTCCCATTCCTAAGTAATTCAATAACGCGCTCACATCAGTAATGCTCAAACTTGATAAGTCTGTTGGATATTTGGAAATTGCTTCGTAAATTTCTTCTTTTTGTTCGGGTGTGGGTACCGGCATTTTGTTGGTAGGGAATGAAGGGGGTTGGCCTGGAGTGAACGGGGTTAGCTGGGTACTTGAAGGGGTTTGGCTGGTTGGCTGAATGGGGGTTGGTTGGATACTTGAAGGGGGTTGGCTGGTTGGCTGAATGGGGTTGGCCTGGAGTGAAGGGGGTTGGCTGATTGGTAATGCAGGGTTGCTTTTGGTTACCATAGGCGTGGGAGACTGGCTGTCAGTTGATGCAGTCTGTCTTTTGTGTATTACGGACAGGTCAGTCTTGCTGTGAGGCCTTTTTAATCTGCTAAGCAATTGAGGCGGGTTGTTGGGAACATTAGGAAGAACCCTGTCAGGGAATGCAACTGCGTTGTTGGGCAAGTGCGGGTTGGTGAGTATGGCAGATCTGTTGCGACTTAAAGGCAGCCTATCAGGCACAGGAGGAGGCCTACGATTGCAGAGAAGGGTATTGCTTCCCGATTCTACAGGTTGGTTACTACCTGACGTTGCAGACAACTGAGTGCCTAAAGTCTTTGGATTCATCATAATAACCTTAGAATACCAGTATAGGAATAATTTCGTTATAATATCAATATAAAAGCAATCACGTTACATTACCTTAAAAAACACGTACGCACTGCGTACATGTTGCAAGCCATCAGTCAGTCCCTGCAGGTGCAAGAGGTTAACTAATTTGTTAAAAGTGTTGGTGTTTGTTGCCTAGTGCCGGATTTGCATGCTCGTTTCACCTCTGTGACCGAAGTTTGCAGCTGCAACATGCATGGCACGACTTTCGTATCATTTTGCCCCACATGCACATGGGCTCCCAGTTTGTCTTTACAAGAAACTGATTAGCTTTTATTGGGTCATTGGTACTTCTCTGAAATAGAGGGCGCAGGGTTTACTGTGCTTCAACTAAGAAAAGGATCGTGCATTAAAAAAGGAATTTCACTTGCATATTTGACAACTAATAGATATGCTGTAACGCAATCATAAGACAACCTCCATACGGTATGTCCTGAGAAGGGCTATTAATAATTGATATACTAAAACTGTGTACCAGTGTGGGTAGTACCAATGTGAAAATGCTGAGCTGAGTGGTTATATTACTACCTTAAAAAATATGCAGAAACTCGACGTTTCGAGCGAAGACCCTTCGTCAATTTAGAGTTAGTGAACGAAGGTTCACTAACTCTAAATTGACGAAGGGCCTTCGTTCGAAACGTCGAGTCTCTGCTTATTTTTTAAGGTAGTAATATAACCACTCAGCACAGTATTAATAATTGAACAGTACATCATTTTTATGTGCAGCTACAGTAAACTTGGTTCAGCTTCTGATCAAAATAACTTGTCCTAATTTGCCATTTCCCAAAGTCCTGCAATCTAGTCGCGCAAATCCCATATTGGATGGCAGTACAATTTAAATTTAGATACAATCGACTCCAACATTTCTTAGTCTCATACCATCAGTCCAATCATGTTTCATGCCAGAACATGTCAGGTTTACGGTTTTAAATATCTACAGGAACGTTTAGTTGCTGGTCATGCATATGTTACCAGCAAAATGTCTATATGTGCGCTAGTGTGGCCAAAACAAAGAAGTTCTAGACCGTAATATTGGTAGCCTGCGTAGCATGCAGGCGTTTAGTGCGGGCGGGAGAAGAGAGGGCGTTTCGGATCTCCGGTACGTAAGCATTGGGATTGTCGCACCCTGTTTTCGGAGTAATACATATTGTATCCATAGCTGCAGGTGACTGTAGCTGACAATTTAGGGCCTGTTTATAAGGGAGCCGGACTGGCCCGCGCGAGACAGCCTGGTAAGGGGATGAATTTCTCTTGTGTTTATATGAGAAAATTTCATCCCGCTAGCATACCGGGACAATTTTGTTAAATTGATATTGTTTTGACAGCAAGTTAAAAATAGCTTGCTGTGGTATCTTTGAACTTTCATCCCGGCAACCGGGCTAGCCCGCTTGTGAGTGTTTATATTGAGAAATTTCCATCCTGATATAGCGAGACCTCGCCTCTTTCAAGGGAGATCTTGATATTAATTTTTACTATAGAAAGAACTACACATCGAGATCTCGCTTACCGGGCTGTCTCGCTTAGCGGGCCAGCCCGATTTCCATATAAACAGGCCCTTATCTTTATTTGCAATAGTAATATATTACCGGTCTATACAGGGTGTATAAAAAAAAACTGAACAGTTATGAATTTGCTCTCAATTTCGCAAAACAGCTATTAGTATCCAGTTTTTTATGTATATAGCTTCTTTGGGTACTTATAATGTAGAATAATGAAAAAAATTTCTCGAACTCAAATTTTGTGAACCAGGGGGGGGGGGGTGTCTTTTCCAACAAACTAAAAATGGCTTGCGCACGAAATTTAAAAGCTTTAATCATATTCTGAGTTAATAGATGCAAAATGTGTTAGGTTTTTAATTACTGTACAAAATTTCAGACAATTTGGTTTAGTTTAAGCCCTTTAACTATTCACGCAAAGTTACATTTTTTCCTGAAAAACAGCTATTTGCATGCTTAATTAATGTCTTTACCTAATTTGCATATGTCAGCAATATGCAAATTAGGTAAAGGCATTATTTAAGCATGCGAAAGGCTGATTTTTTAGAATAAAATGAATTGTTAAAGGCTTAAACTAAACCAGATTGTCTGAAATTTTGTACAGTTATTAAAAGCCCAACAAATTTTCCATCTATTAACTCAAAATATGATTACAACTTTAATTTTCAATTTTGTGCGCGAGCCATTTTTAATTTGTTGGAAAAGACACACACCCCTGGTTCACAAAATTTGAGTTCGAGAAATTTTTTTCATTATTCTACATCATAAGTACCCAACGAAGCTATATATATAAAAAACTGGATACAAATAGGTGTTTTGCGTAATTGAGAGCAATTTCAAATCTGTTCAGTTTTTTTATACACCCTGTATAGTAATGCATGGCTAAGCCGTTTCTGGATTTCTTTTTGTACGTCTGAACTACACTCTCAAAAATCTCACAGCTGGTCAACAAGATGTGTTTGCACTTGCTTGTCCCCAGGTGTTGACAAGTCTGGAACAAATTGTTATCGTCTTATAACAAGGTTGATCACGCCAACAGATTCGCAACAAATTGTTTCAGCAAGTCTGATATCGTGTGCCCGTAACAAGCTGTTAACAGGTTAATGACGACAACAAGCTCGTTGCAAGTTGTCACCAACATACGTGCATAAGTTTTGTTGGAACAACTTGTAACAATCTGTTAAACTCATTTATTTCAAATTTTCAATTGTTTCTTCTAGTCTTGTTTTAAAAAAACTTTATTAAAATATATTCTATAAAAACTGAATAAAAACCAAGCTGTCGGACTTAGCGTCCATCGTCAGTGTTAAAAAGAACTTTATAGACTAACATATTTCAACAAACAGGAATTCATATATAAGGTTATATATATATATATATATATATATATATATATATATATATATATATATATATATATATATATATATATATATATATATATATATATATATATGATTAAAATGAATTCATGCAAAAAATTGCTTGTTTCTTTGTTTGTTCATAGGTATAGATTCTTCTATCAAAATCCTTTACTGTAACCTGCGTAGCAGTGTTATTTTATTGAAGGTTTTGAGGATTACCCTCATTTATTCAAAAATCCTCAAAACCTTCAATACATTAAAACGACTTCTACGCAGGCTACTTGTAGTGCGAACACGACAGTTACTGCATAATATAAAGAAACTCCGAGAAACTCGATATTTGACCAATAAGAATTATTCCTGGAATTTGAACCCCATTCCAACGTTTGTAACCACATTTTCATAAGCATGTTTTCGTTGACCGTTCTGTTTTTCCCTTGCGAACTCGACATTTTCATAACCGGTATTTGAAGGTTTATTTTTTGCATCGGTTCGTTTGTGTATTATGACAAATTTTCTTGTCTGAGGTCTTACGTTTGGTGATATCATAGGGATGACATAGTCACTGTGATTTTCGGATAATTGTTTAGGATCTGCAAACTCCTGCTTCGAGTTTGAATTCCATACAGGCTTAACCTCTTCATAACCTTGTGAATGTTTTATTTCAGGTTGATTGAATGGTGCTTGCTTTTGTGAACCTTCGTTTCTCAAATGATCCTGGACTTTTAATGTTGATGGAACATTTATATAATTGCCAGTACGGTGAGAATTTGTTATCGAAACATACATATATATATCAAGGTTATTCTGGTTATCAACTGAATGTTTGTCCTTTTCACAATCAACATATTCATAAATATTTTTCTGAAAGAAGCTCATGTCAACGTACTCTTCTTCGTCTGTGGTCGCACTTTCTTCGGGACGACTTCGTGAAAGTTTGTCGTATACCTCGGCTGTGGTCGTACCAACTTCGGGGCTACTTCGTGCAGGTTCGTCGTGTACTTCGGTTGTCATCGTACATACGTCAGCAGGACTTTGCGAGGGTTGTTTTGGATCGCGTGGTGGATAGTCGGAATTGTTTGGGGACTCTGCGATTCTTTTTTTAGGTTTGGGAGGACTCGGTAAGGTGTCGGATTGTGGCCGTTGAACAGTCGCCATACTTTCGAAAGAAGTTAAATCGTATATTTTTACAGCGTTTATATCTTGGAATACATTTACTCTCTCTGAGAGGTTCTTGCTGTTGAAACCTGCGTGTAGCGTACGAACAAAATCTTCATAACTTTGGCCATGTTTAGCTAAACGTTCTGCGACTGCGCAGCGGATGGGTAGGTCAGTCGGTAGACCTATACAGTGGGTTAGTGCACCCACCCCTCTCCCTAAGGTAGTTGCGATAACTTTAACTTCCGTTAGCACTTTATGAAAGACCACTTCAGTGAGACCTGTTAACGCGCTGCTCCACTGATCCAAGTTTTGTTCAGCTTGCGAACGGGTTGTTTCAAAGCACACCCTCGAATGCAGGCCGTAGTTGACCACAACTTCCGACAGTGTGTATTTCCGGCTGTCTAGTAATGGGGTGAAAATCGCCGGGGATGTGTAGGAAAGAGTCACTTCTCCTTTAGTATCAGTATTCTGACAAACGACACTTTTCTTTTTTTTGTCAATCTTTTGAATTTGTAGTATGTCACCAACTTTGAGCGAGGGTTGTAAAATGTCACTGGCATTCCTTGATTGAGGTCCACAGCTTTTCACTCGTACGTATTGTACTTTATGAAAGATGGACTTAAAATCTTCGACTTTACATGGCGTGTACTTACATTTGGACGGGCAGACTAGGACTTGTGTTGGACACGTCAATGGAACGATTACTTGCTTGCCCGAACTGTCCGTGCCAAATAGTTTTCGGACTGAACATATCTCGTGGAATGCCAATATCTGTTCGTTATTTATGCTTGTTTCTTCGTTCTTGCCGCAGAAGCCATCCACGACTCGAACAATCTGAGGCAGTTGATATTCTTTAAGAAATTTTGATAAATTCTTCTGTGGTTTGCTCCAAATGAACGATCCAGTGAGTTCCGTATCGTTCGCCATTTAATCACACTGA